GCAGGCCCTGCCCTGCCCAGCCCAAGGAGCCCCCACCCACGGCACAGTGCAGCCGGCTTGGCTCGAACAGGCCTGGAGCAGCTTGTAGCACAGCAGCCTGCATTCTGCTCCCAGCGGAGCGCCGCTCCAGCCTGAATAGGCCCACCGCACCATGCCACAGGCTGGGAGGTACTACAGCCCAGGCGGGCTGGATTAATCCCCCCACCACGGGATCACAGTTAACTGGTTAAACATTCCATTAACTTTTTAACCAGGATCCCTACCCCAAACCAAGTCTAAAGCATAAAAATCTTATGACTTGTAATAATGGGGAATAGTTAAAATATTCCCTGCCACTACTGGTGACAGAGGGTCTCTCTTAACACTTTGATGGAACCCAGGCCTTCCTAAATTATCTGCTTTTCCCCCCTAAATTGTCAGAATTATCCTACAATGTCATAAAATTTTAAAAAGACTTCAGAGTTTCCAAATGGCATCCTATCATTTGGCTTAAGGAAATATTTACCTTGCTCTGAAGTTGCTGTGTTTTCCACTGGCAGCTCATAGTCATGGCACCTTTTCTCTGAAGGAGGCACTGCAAAGAGGCTTCCAGTGGCCCACAAGCTCCTACCAGTAACACCTTCTTTCCATCTATAGTTTTAACTGCTCGACAAAAAAAGCCAACAATCAGTTCAGTTGTCTGTTGCTGTAACAGATGTTTACTACTAAACTTCTTTGGAGCGAGCAGCCAGCCCACAAATTCGATTAAGTGGACATTCTGCCATTCGCCTTCCTGAGGGACAAGGTTTGTAATTACCAGAAGCCCTAAAAGATGGTTCCAAGTGCTAGTATTTTTCTCATCATCACAAGGTTGAAAATCACATACACTTGCCTCTGGAAGAACCCACCCAAACCTAGGTTCCAATTTGTTTATGTGACAAGTGACAATCTTACCCTGATTAGTGTCAATGTTCAGTACATACTGCTGAATTAAATGGGATCTGGGTTTGTTTGCATATAATCATTTAATGTATCCAGCTGTGCCAGATACTTCCCCATTTTATTTAAAATTCACCTACTTTTAAAGGATGTTTGCCTCCAAAATTCACAAGTGCAATGAGATACAAGACTATTCTTGAATGATTGCTGTAATTGATTTAAGCCAGTACATTAACAGTATCTTTACAAAAGATGTAAAAAACCCACAATATTTAGGGTGTTCACAGATAAAGTAATCTGTAATTTCAATTACCAAATATACAATGTAGTCCAAAATGTAGTCCATTCATTAATAATCTTGATTTGTCCAAATTTTTGAGAGACTCAAAATTCGTCTCTGATCTCACAGGCAAAAAACTATGTCAATTTTGGTTTTATACAAGTTTTCCGTGGAGACCTTAGTAAAATGGGTTTGCCTGTAGCAGCATCCAAGCCAATAATTTTTGATCTGAGGAAGTGGGTCTGGCCCACGAAAGCTCATCATCTAATAAACCATCTTGTTAGTCTTTAAAGTGCTACATTGTCCTGCATTTTGCTTCAATAATATGTGGGTTTATAGACAAAGGCCACACCACTACTCCTAGAAACAAATTTGCAGTTCTGAATTCAACTCTTTGATGGAGAATCTCAGCAAGATAAAGGAAGCAAGGACCTGTTATTTCAAATGCAAAATTAAGCCAGAAAATCTGAGGCTGTATCTGTACATAGTACAAGAGCAGCAAACAGCAAAACAAAACAAAGTTTTGCTTTATGGTTCAGCTCTATGTCCATAAAATTTGTGTGTTCCATTGAGCTGCGATGACTGAAACCAGTCTTCATTTTACATTTATATTTTTGTAATAAAAGAAAAAAAACCTAATCAAATAGGTGTTTGTAGAGTTTAACTTGCTGCCATGGCTTTGCGGGTGTCAAATCCACTACAGTGTACTGAGTTTACAGGTTCTTATTTTGTGTAGATCAGAAAAATGGATAAAGAAATACAGAACAAGACTAATATATGAAAAAATGGGTATTTGATTACCAAGGTTCTTATACAGGATCTCAGAAATCATCAGTAATAGAAAAACTTGTACTTGATAATATTAGAAATAGAATTGCACAAGACTGTCTTACCTAGTTTTTCAAGAAGCTCAATCACAGCACTGGCAGTAGGAAAAACTGAACAGTTGTAAGTATCTCCACGCACCAACCGTCCCAGGTTTACATCTGATACTCTAGGGAAGAAAAATATGGAAACATATAAAACAGAAAGTGAGCATGAGATATACTGTAGTTAGAGCTTGCCCTGTACGTTATACCCTATCTGTGTTAAAATACAAACTGAATGTCTCATAGAACTAGTAATAATATATGGTTACGAGATTATTTTAATCTCTAAACTTCTATATCTAGCACTTCCCACAAGATCTTAGAATTCAGACAAACACAGAACCATCAAGATAGATAAAAGGAGGAGGAACAAGGGCTAGAAGAAAAAGTGGGTGCAAGATAATTTGTGACATATTCAAGCAGAATATGAGTGAAATAAGGAGGGAAGGAAAAACAAGCAAAGGAGCGTCTGTCATGAAAGCAATGGGTGTTTGGGGGGGGGTTAGAAGTACTCATGATATTTGATTTACAGGAAGTAATGTTATTTCAGAAGGTTGGAGCAGTATGAGAAAAGGCAAGAGTGGGAGGAGACGACAAAAGGGAAAAAATTGCTGCAAATTAGACAGGCCCTAGGTCTGTTTAAGATATGCTAGGGGCCTAGGAGCAGTTCAGGATAGATTGGGAGGGTGCAAGTCTGGCTTAAAATTACCCTAGACCCATGCTCCCCTCTAGAAATTCAGCCAAGGCTCTCCCCCTGAAGCTTTCTTAAAAAATGCTGTCAATGAAATCAATAAGAATGATAACAACGTAACACTGGAAGAGAATAAAACTACACTATAAACACTATTTCCCAAGCTTATGATTAGTAAAGATTAAAGCACAGTCTTATCAAAATTACTTAAGCAGACAGTTTGATTGATTTTATAATCTTTTTGTCTACATTTAATGACACAGTTAAGCAGTGACCGAAAAATCCATTAGTGAAAAGCAATGGTGAAAGCAGATTTTAGAGCCATAAAACTTGTAACCGCTCTGGCTACCTCTCACTACTTCGCTTACCCATCTACATCTTTCTCTGGTTTTACTGCATTTAATACTTTGCTGTTGTATGCATTTTCAGAGAGGTGAAGGGCAATGCCATGAACCATAGGATCTTCATTGAGTCTCAAGATTTCACCAACAATCTAGGAAGTTAATAAAATGCTTTAGAAGTTAGAGGCAGAACATTATGAAATAAAAAATGGGTGTAATTGTAAACTAATGCTGGTAAACCTTTGGCATTTGTCATCTGGCTATTTCTCTTACAATTTACAACTTGTGTATACTCCCACAGATTTGTGGCCTGCTTGTTTTTCTGCAAAAGTGTATGTACATTAACAGTTATTCCCATACATGGAGTTGCAGGGATATAACTAAAGGTATGTCTACACTTGCACCCTCTTTCAAGAGAGGGATGCAAATGAAGACATTCGAAATTGCAAATGAAACAGAGATTTAAATATCCCACGCTTCATTTGCATATTTGTGTTTTGGCGCTATTTCGAAATAGCGCTATTTTGAAATAACAGATGCTGTTAAGTTGCAGTTATTTCAAGAGAAAACCCTTCTCTCGAAATAACTGGTAAACCTCATTGTATGAGGAATAGCGCCATAACGCGAATATGCAAATCCCAGCTTCATTTGCAATTTCGAATGTCTTCATTTGTTGCATCCATCTCTCGAAAGAGGGTGCAATTCTCTAAGAGAATTTGTCCCTAACACTGCTGTAATGATGGTCAACAGATAAGTGTATGTAAAGAGACCTGTTCCATTATGAATAAAAGAAAAGAGAGCTGTGATATTTCAAGGGCAAGAACACAGAATAAGATCCTGCAAAAACAATTTCCATTGGCCATACTAAAACCAAAACTAACTAGAATTCAGAACCATCAAAATGTTTACATAGTTAAATCTGTGTAACTGTGTGATTTTGTTGTAACCTTTGTCCTACCTCCCTTCCTCCCCTAACTCTACCTCCACATTTTATTTATCATTCTCATTTCTTATGCCACATCCAGAATAGAGATTGTAAACTCTTTGCACCAGGCACCACTCTTCTTTGTTCTAAACTGCACCTACTAAACTTTTTGCAGGAAGTAAAAATAAAAACTAGCAGTTGAAACCATGACCTGAGACAAAACTTCACAGGATCACAATCCCTTTTTCAGAATTTTAAGAACCTAAAAGGAGACATTGAGTTCAAAGCAAGGTACTACTAGCTTCAGAGTCTGAAGCACCACAACCCCAAGTACTCAGGCTCATTGCTCTCATCCTCTTGCATCCATGCAGCCACCAAACCCTGGTCAGTTCTTGCTCTGTGACACCTCTAAAATCCATTCATTACCCCATCAACAAAACCTTGATCCTGCAATCTTCCTATCTGTCGCAATCCTCCTGCCGTCTCCTAACTTGTTCATTCTACGCTTAGTTCAAAATGCAGGGGAAAAGATATTCTGCACACAATTTCATTTTAACTAACTCTTCCCCCACACCAATCTTCTTGATAGGCCCACTGATTTGTTTGGGGCTTTGCTACAGATATCTTAGAATTAATTGTTGTGGAATGTCACGTTTTATTGGAATAGCCCCAGGTAAACTGTGATATTCCGATCTCCGGCAGGTTTAAAACAATTATAAAAAAGTTCTTGAAAATCTGTGTCACACACAAAAGACCAAGGCACATGAACCCCTGGGCCCTGAGTTTTCATAACAACGACCTAGGGCTTTGGATTCTGGAATAACTATATCAAATTGGTCAAAGAAGTTTGTCAGACCTGGAAACAACAAAGGATAAGAAATGATTTTTTATATCTGTGAGATTCATGCCCATACAACCCTAATTAAAGGGGATTTCAATACACTTCTATGATTGGTTAGTGGACATCTTTAACTCCTTTTTTTCTATTTTAAATGATGAAAGGAGAAAAACATGTTTGCTTTTGTTTAAATCTTCTGTCGTTCCTTTAAGCTTAATATATTAATTAAATCACTAGGTTTCCTTTGTAGGCATTCTGTAATTTCAGCATTTTATTGACATTTCATATAGCATTCATTCATTCCATGTATTGGATGTTTAATATTAAAAGGATTTGGCCTGTGACTATGCAGCATTTTAACAAAACCTTGACATTATAACAGCTCCAAAGATCCCATTCAGAAGTAAAGTCACAGTTTAAATAAATGTAGTTTTGTACGGCATTCATCTGAATAAGAACATAAAAATGTGTTACAATAAAAGAGCACTTAAATGATCACAAGAAGATTCTATTTTTAAACTTCAGTTACTTGTCCCATGTTTTCCAAAATATCAAGATCCCAATATAATTTAAGGTATAGCCTAATAAATTATTTCTTAAAAACAAATTAAGTTTTCAGTAGCCTACCAAAATAAATGTAAAAACTTGCTTTTGGAATTCTGTGTGTTTGGATTTTAAATTGGGATAAAGTGAAGTTATGGAGCATATGATGAATTAGAAACAAAAGAATAAAAAAATACTTTTTTAAAAGGTAAAGAGTCCCAGAAGAAAAATGACTAAAAGAAAGGTCTGAGTTAACAATCAACAGAGCCAGTGCAAACGTTGTTCTCCATCAAAGAAAAGGTAAACCTCTGTACATAAGAATGTGTCCCCTGATATCCAGCGCAGGAGGTGACCTTTGGTGTTATAAAATAAAACTTGGAAAAAAGGTTGTATTTTCCTGCATTATGAAGTATTTAACCTGGTAATCTCAACTCCAAATAACAAACAAGTGATACAGTCACATCTCCTTAAATAAAAAACAGGACTGTGTTTCAGCTGCACCAGACTAACACGGCTACATTTCTACCACTAATCTCCTTAAATAGTGCAAGAAGCACAAGAGTTGGGTCCTACATCTTTAAAGCTGGTTCCTATAATATTTCAGACAAAAACACTCTCTATCCAGATTTAATTTTATGATTGAGTCCATCTCTAATAAAAACATCTATATCACACCTGATACATTCCATTTCCTGTAAAAAAAAGTTAACCAGCACACTCTTCTGCATTACCTGAGCTAAGCTGTACCTTTATAGTAAACTTTCTTTGATTCTCTGATGCACAAAGTTGTATAATGTTACATTTATTTTAGTTTATGTTTATCATGGAAAGTAAGGCTGGCACTCAGTAAATCTTGTGAAAATCCAGGCAGAGAAACACATTTTCCAAATTCTAGTTTAATGCTTTCAGTCAGAAGACAACTTTAAGCTAAGCATGAAAGTGGTTTGGTACTAGATGAACCTGCATGAAGAATGTGGGGCTAAGCTGAAATAATTTACAAACACTCTACGAGATCTGACTAGTGAGACACAGAGGGATACTATGGATACATAGGATTACCGGAATGCTTACTGCAAGCACTTTAGATTAGTTTAGCAACAGGGCTGTTAAGAAACTAGCCCAAAGACAACATAATGACTCCTGATAAAAAAATGTCTAAGTAAATGCGAGCAGGGAGCCAGCCATAGTTACACCACCTATGACAGACTGATGCCAAGTATGCTGCAGAATCTGAAAAAACAAAACCTGCCTGACCTTCTGTCCCAGAGACAGTAAAGCCCTTCGGTAAGACAGACATGTTGTAGGCCTTTTGAAGTGTAAAATCCTTTTCCTCTTATGTTATGCTCTGTTCCCAATTATAAGATTAAATAGTACTTTGTGTGAGGAAGCTGTCTGGTCAGTGTATTAGTCACTGATCACAGCTCTCAAAAGGAAGACTCGCAGGTGCTAAACTTAGTTGAACTGATTAATCATGATTAGTACGCAGGGGGCTGTAGCTCGGGTTCCAGACCTAGAGGGGGAGAAATGTAAGATTCCATCCTTGGAGAGGTGAAGGCAAAAGGCGTATCACTTGAGGGGACACTCAAAGAGATCAGAAGAGGGTACAGCTAGCTCTGTAATCATGACAACCTGTATTATGGCTATGGGATCCCTATAGTTTAAAAAAAAAAGCACATTTTTTCCATTTTCATTTATTATGAAGACAGCAATACATATCTTGATTGTTTTTGAAAGGACTGGTTTTCTTAAATGGGTAACAGATGCAGTGTATCATTTACAGCAATGGCTTACCAAAAATATTAAATTAAGGATCCTTAACAACCAGAAGGTTGAGATAAACAGATTCTATCGGATATATCTTTTACACAGAAAAATCTCTTTGTTACAGAAAACATTTGGAAATTATTTTTGTGACTTTAGTAAAACAAAAAATAACAACATTCTGGAATGAATAAAATTTTCAAAACCCAAACTGTATATAATACCTACATTTTTGTTATGCTTTGTAAGTAGGGAGTTATTTAGAAATAATGAAGTGTCAGATGAATATATTTACCTCCTGTACAACCTGACCTTCCCACACACAAAAAGATGAGATGAGAAAAGAAGAGAGTAGAACCCTTAGTTCTGAAATTCCTTTTTATTTAATTAATTTGGCCCTTTCACAATGTTAATAAAGGATTCTGTATTTATATAAACAGGTCCAAATTCTAATCTCAATTAATTAGTTCAGTGTCTCTGACATAACTGGAACCAAAGTGAAAATTTGCTTCCCTCTTTATTACTACAGGTTGAACCTCTCTAGTCCAGCACCATCCGTGGTCCAGCATGCTTTTAGTTAGTTGGATGTCCACTTATCATGGATGTGGCCAAGTTTCCCATGGACCCATAAAGTTTGTTTCCAGTCACCAGACCTGGTTCTCAGTGTTCTGTGCTGTTATTTAGCTCCTATTTACCCGTAAATGTCTTCTAAGAGGCCAGTAAGCAGTGAAAGTATTGTTAACGCTGCTAGACAATATTGACGTCCTGCAGTTTGGCAAATTCTCCGGTTACCAAATAAAGGCATTTGTTACTGTTATTTTTAACATTACCTGTAGTGGTGATTTAAACAGCCAATACCAAATACATTAACATTTAGTTCCCTGGTTCCACTCCCAGGGAAGTGGGAGTTTAGTTTAGAAGTTTCCCTAACTAAAATCTAGTCTGATACAGTGGGGAGTATGTATATTCTACAGAACAGAGAGGGAACAGAAATTGCATTAGACAAGGTTTCAAGTGAGGGTCTCAATCATAAAAGTTCTCTCTATGCAGAATTTGCACTGACTTCAACAGTAATTCCACACATAGAGTGTTTGCAAGATTATGCCCAGGATGCACTCTGTTCTTGTGGTTAAGACACTAACTTGAGAACTAGAGGATCAAAGTTCTGTTTTCTGCTTTGACACGTCTTGCATATGTTTAAAAATGGATATATATGCCTACCTACACAGGCATACTATGATTATACATTTATGCAATGTATGCAAAGTGCTCAAATGATTCAACGGTGATGAATGCCATAGATAAATATAAATTTTATAAGTTTCTATGTTCAAATAAAATGTAAAGAAAAAGATTTCCACAATGTGCTATAGTTACCTCATCTTCACTACTACTCTGAGGGAGGCAAATATGAACAACGTGCAGACCAATCTGTCAAGAAAACAAAACATTTTAAGTTACTCCAAAGATCAGAGGAGCTCACAGTTAAAACAAACCACATCTCCTACCCTCACCTCTTCAGCAAAATTCTGGTTTAGTTTTTGCACCAAGTCTTCATCACTTGCCTTAAAGGGACAAAAAAAAAAAAAAAAAAAAAGCAGAATGTAAGTAATTGAAGGACAAAAGTTAGCAACAAAGAGAATTCTATGATTATATAGTATTACACTTTTTAAAACATTGTGTATGCTCTGATACAAGGATCTACAGAAGGAAAGTGCAGCACAAACATGTCTCTCCATAGGTGAGAAACTAGACCTAAAGGTGCTGCTGCACCTCTGGCTTGAAGAAATTTCCCTCATGTACTAGAGATGTTAAATATTGGTTAATTGAATAGTCAATTAACCTCATGAATTTTTATCAGTTAGTCGACTATTCTATAGTTCTCTGGGACAAGGCTGGCAATCAGTGCACTCTGGCCCCGCTCCTGAGGAGCCCCCTGCCACTCCACGCTGCTGCCTCTCTATTAGAGGCAGCAGCATGGGATGCCAGGCGGAAGCTGGTCCACAAGGGAAGCCAGTATAAAAACCAGCTCCCCTCACAGACCGGCTGCCTGTCACTCTGTACTGCTGCCCAGGGGAGAGACCCCGCCTGAGTCAGAACTGAGCCAGGCTGCCTGCCCGCCTGGCTCCTAATACACTTTAAATGCAGAACCGCAGCAGTGATAGGTCCCGGACCTGATGCAAGCCAAGATGGAGTTGGGCTGCTGGCCAGCCTGCTAAAAAATTTACTGGCGGGGCGAGGAGGGATGAAATGCATGTAGTCTATAGCATTAGCCTATAAGCTTTTGCTTATCGGTTAATTGGTTAATTGACTAGACTATTACATCCCTATCATGTACACTACAGGGTTTGCAGTTTGTTTCAATGGTTCTCAGCACCTCTACTATACAAATTGCTACAGCCCCCTTCTCTTTCAATAGTGAAAGGAGGCTAAAGCTGCCCTGTCTACAAGAATCTGACAGAAGGCCACTTTGAAATATTTATCTTGGCTTGGTGTGTTCAATATATCTTAAAGATAAGAGTTGGATGTTTGACCTACTTTAAACAAACTGATTAGTTTTTAGAAAAGGTGCCAACAATATTTGAAAGTGAAGTCATCTTTGCATCCCTATAACAGATAAAGCATACTTAGTCAATAGCAATAAAAGTATTCTTTACACTGTCCCCAAAATATGCCACAACTCAAATTTTTTCCATCTCTGTGAATGTGATGTGAACTAGGGATATAAAAGGTCAGTTAAATAGGTAACCATGTAAACAGGTAACTGCTGAAAATATCAGCAGTTACATAAGCTGTGGGCTCTGCAGTATAAATGCTTTATACTGTAGAGTCCACAGACAAGCCTACCTGGAAATGGGGTTGCCAGTCCCTGTTGGCTCTGCTCCCAGGGAGGAGGCTTTCTTGCTCTGGAGCCAGGCCAGCAGAGGAGAAGGCTGCTGGCTTCACTCCCGAGGAGAAGGTTTCTCTGCTACAGGAAAACTACTTCCCCAGGAGCAGAGCCGGCAAGTGTGTAACCTGGGGCCCCCCCCAGAAGCGGCTGCTCTGACCAGCTGGAGGAGCCCCTGCTTGTAGCAGGCCTAGCAGGGCTGGAGCAGCCCCCTACTCAGCTATGCCAACTCCTGCAGTTTACTGGATAACCTTTCACATCCCTAATGTGAACCACTCTCTAGAGGGAACTGGACTAAAGTAATCAATTCTTGTCACAGACTCCAACAGAAATTTATCTTAAAGCAATTACTCTTAGCAACTACTGATTTGGGAAAGATTTGAACCAATGACTTTGAACCAATAACTTAGAAGTAAAAGGATCTGCATCCTACTCGCTATCCTTCTGGCAGTACCAGTCCGTGTAATTTTTGCATTTTAGTAATTTGGTGTAATGGATTATTACACATTTTCTCATTCTGGAAGCATGAGACACCAATTCTGACAATGGAAATTGGTTTCATACGAAACCTAAAGAGCTTGTCCATTACTTTGTATGGAAACCAGCCATACAACAGTAATTATGTTTGTATATTTTAAAGACAGCAACTCTGCTGGGAGGACTTTTTAAGATTTGGCAATAAAGCTAGTTGTGATCACTCATGAGATGCCTAAATTGCAGACCTTATTGCTACTTTTACAAAGTACCAATATTACTTTGTACTTCTATTGCATTTATTATTGGATCTCATTCCTAGGAAATACCAATTGCCTTTTTATTAAAAACCTCTCTGCTTCTCTACTGACAGTATATATTTAAAAAAATAAGATGAAACAATCCTTTAAATAAATAAATAAATACATACATACGTCACCTGTACAATGGCAAGTGTTGGCTTAAATGTAGGGTGTCCTTTCTGCAAGGATGCCAGGACTTTCTTACAACTCTGAATGATTTCACTGGAACACAACAGTAACATGGTATCAAGGTATGTTACACATTTCCCTGTCACAACATTAGCAGAAAGCTGTTGACATTAATTTTCCACACCACTTTGGTGACAGAATTCAGAATTACTGAGTAAATATGTAAGCATATTCAAAGGTTTTCATTTTCAAGGCAATGTGTATATTAATAAATATGGTAACATTTGGCAGCGAAAGTAACAAAATAAAGTAAAGCCAGCCATAATACCTTCATTATTTAACTTGCCTTTACCACTGCTCAGACATGCCCAGTCCTTTAGATCATGCACTTCTAATTATTCCACAAGGCTTGGAAAATCCACTCACCAGTGAACAGGATACAGGCAGTCCCCGACTTACGCCAGATCCGCACTTACGAACGGGGCTTTCTCGCCCCGGAGCTCACAGGCAGCGGTCAGCCACCTCGAGCTCCGGGGCGAGAAAAGCTGCTCCCGGTGCCCCTGGTCTGCTGGGGACCGTCTCCAGCAGACCAGGGTTATTCCACAAGGCTTGGAAAATCCACTCACCAGTGAACAGGATACAGGCAGTCCCCGACTTACGCCAGATCCGCACTTACGAACGGGGCTTTCTCGCCCCGGAGCTCACAGGCAGCGGTCAGCCACCTCGAGCTCCGGGGCGAGAAAAGCTGCTCCCGGTGCCCCTGGTCTGCTGGGGACCGTCTCCAGCAGACCAGGGGCATCGGGAGCAAACCCGCAGCAGCGGCGGGTTCCCG